TACAATAATATGTTGACGGTGCGACCGTTAGGGCGAGCGCAGATACCTTTCAGTTTTAATTAAAATCGGGCTCGTCAAACCGCACGTGACATTTGCAACGTCTAGACTATGACGTCATATGACGTCGTATGTGCATTACCCAAACGAAGTTTGAACAGTGCTAATCTTAATCAAAAAATATTTTATCTACTATCTGTCTGCTATACATGTGTATCCATTAAATCAAGGTGATTTTATTTTTTGTTGAATATTTTTGTTGCTTCCGCGAGAATGAAGTTTGCGACGAGATGCATTTCGCTAAGCATTATGGGACCACAGGTAACTGCGGAAAAAAAAATCATTTGGATCAATGTGCAAAGTCCGAATTTTCTCTTCGCCCAGGCGTTGCTTTAAGAGCTCGCAGTGACGAGTGGCGCTTCGCGCCGCTCGCTGCGCTAGCTATTATTCTATAAAAAGACAGTTTAAAAAACAATGCAATAAGATAATTTATTAAATCGTATTCGTTTTGCTTCCGAAGAAGAGCAAGAAGAAAAGAATAGGCTATTATAGACCCTTTATAAAGACATCTAATTACTCACTGACATCAGAGTACGTGAATAAAAAGAAATGATCATTTGAGATATATTTTTTTAATTATTGGCATAATGTATTTTCTATTAATCAATGTCTTTAAGAATGTTATGTTTAAAATCTTTATCTGATATTGTAAAACGTTTATGTGCTAATTTTTTCTTAAATTCATGGCTTTTGAGGATCCATGTTTGCTCTGATCTCAATTTTTAATGGTTGATTGGCATAATCACTGATCGTTATCTTCACATTTCATCAACTCATCATTTACAAATTTTGTAAAATTGAGAATTTCGATTCTTCTAAAATATAACGCTTTGTTAAATAAAGCAAAAAGTGAGCGCGAGAAATGTCTAAGAAGCATTACAGAATGATGAACCCGGCGAGCGTGTCATCTTTCATCATAAATTCAACATGCCTTTGTTTATCTGTTGATATTTTCCACTCATTACACAATCCACAAATGTGTTGTTTAAATTCAATGAATGTGTATTGAGGAGGAAAATTAAGAGATGGGCAGACAGGAATACTATTCCTTAAGCATTCCATATTAGTTCTTATTCTTGTTGATAACCATTCCGTTTTTGAGTTATCCAATGTAACTAACATTACGTCATTGGATAGTTTGAAATCATTAATTTTGCTGCAATACACAACACAGTCAATTTCAAGGTAAGGAAAGTTCATCTAAAAAATCCAGATATTTGATTATTTTGAAACTGTTTGTAAAAAACAAATTTCCGCATATTTTGATGGAATACCCCTTTCTGAATATTTGGACCAATTATATTGCAAGTAAATAATTCTCAAGTTCTCCATGACAAGGAAGTAGACGATGAAAGGGGAATTTCTTTCAGTCCATGATAAATAAAACGTTATTTCCTGTTCAGTTTAGAAAATCCGGTGCTTGGAAAACAATCCTTCATTTACGATTTACATGTACTTACATTAAGGACATACCCATATGGGTTCCGGGAGATCAAATCATTGAAAACCATAAAAAAGAACCACATTTAGTCAGTAAATGCTACTAGTATTCACAACTTTTACTTTCTTATTCACAAATAGTAAAAAAAGGCAAGGCAATAAGGCTATTCATTAAATGCACACTACGTTTTGCTTCCGAAGAATAGCGAATTACACGTATAATGTTAATGTACCCAAAGAAGGAGAAATTTCTCTACAGCTCAACACAAAAAACTAAAGGCTACTGTGGAATCATCATTGTTTGTGGGGGACCAATGTTCATGGATTTCGTGGGACACCCTCACCCATGAATTTTCATCCCCGCGGCAATTTGTAAACAAACTGATTCATTGAATCTACCGTATAAACGAGTAACCCACAAAATCACGACCCCACGAACAAGTAAAATTTTGCTTGCCCACGAACATTGATGCTTATTTCTCCTATACATCTGATCCTATATCTTTGCTTCCAGGGATCCGTGTTATTATCATTAAGATGAGTAAAATTTTGCCTGCCCACGAACATTGACCCCAACGAATGAAAATGAAACCACAGTATTAGAATCTTTAGAAAGATGTATAGTTACTCACAGACATCACAATACATGAGTATAAAAAAATAGTCATTTGAGATAAATTGTTTAAATCATTTGCAATATAAAACATGTTAATATTTTCAATGTTTTTAAGAATGTTACGTGTAAAATTTGTATCTGATATTGTAAAACTTTTACGTGCTAAATTTTTCTTAAATTCATTGCTTTTGAGGATCCATGTTTGCTCTAATCTCAATTTTTAATGGTTAATTGGCATGATTACTGATTGTTATTTTCACATTTTATCAACTCATTTGATAAAATTGCAATTTCTACTAAATTTTCGACTTCCTACTAAAATATAATTCTATGTTAAATAAAGCAAAACGTGAGTGCGAGAAGTGTCTGTTTTGTTTGTTTGTTTATTGTTCCTCTGGAGAATCTTTCACCCATATGGAGACGCCACCACTTGCCGGTGGAGAGCTGCAAATTCATACCTATACTCGGCACTCAGGGCCATTGAGCAGTGAGAGATCTTTTTCGTGCCAACACCTACTGCGACACGTGACCTTGGTTGATACGGTCTCATCCGAAGGACCGCGAGAAAAGTCTGAGAAGCATTACAGAATGATGAGACCCGGCGAGCCTGTAATCTTGTCTTAAATCATAATTTCAATATGGTTCAATGTGTCATAAACAACAATCAATCAATCAATCAATATTCCTTTGTTTACGTGTTGATACATAATCCACTAATCTGTAGTTTAAATTCAATGAATGTGCATTGAAGAGGAAAAATTAAGAGATGGGCAGACAGGATACCTGCAGAATGCACACTTAAATACTATTCCTTAATCATTCATTCAATATTAGTTCTTATTCTTGTTGATAACCATTCCGTTTTTGAATTGTCTGATTAACACACATATATTTAAGGATAGTTTGAAACCGTTACTTTTCCTGCAATACACAACAAAGTCAGGGTAAGTAAAAGGCATTTGATGACATCCTTAATAGATTAGATATATTTTGAAGCTATAACTAAAACAGATATTCTAGATTGAATACCCCTTTCTGGATATATAAACCAATTATATTTCAAGTAAACCCTTGCAAAGAAATACTATAGTAAACTATAGTTTACTATAGTTACCTATAGTAAATCAAAGTTTCAAAGTTATCATTATAATAAATCAAAGTTTTCACAGTTATCACTATAGTGTCATAGTGATCACTATAGTAAATCAGAGTTTTCAAAGTGATCACTATAGGGTCAAAGTTATCACTATAGTGAATCAAAGTTTTCAAAGTTATCACCATAGCAAATCAAAGTTTTCATAGTGATCACTATAGTATTTCAAAGTCTTCATAGTTATCAATATAGTCATCGTGATTACTACAGTTAATCAAAGTTTTCAAAGTTATCACTATTGTAAATCATAGTGTCAAAGTTATCACTATAGTTAACTATAGTTCTCATAATGTCAAAGTTATCACTATAGTTAACTGTAGTTCTCATAGTGTCAAAGTTATCATTATAGTTAACTGTAGTTAACTATAGTTTACTATAGTATTTTTTTTGGTAAGAGAACAATTCTCAAGTTCTCCCATGACAAGGGGGTATGCTATGAAAAGGAGGAATTTCGTTCACACCATGACAAGTAAAACGTTACTTCCCGTTCAGTTTTGAAAATTCGGTCCTTTGAAAACTTTCAAAATTCTTCAAATTAAGATTTACTTACATTAAGTATATAGCTATATGGGTTTCGGGGATCAAAATCATTAAAAACCATTAAAAACCATACTTGGTCGCTAAATGATACTAATATTATTTTATTATTCAAAAATAGTTTTAAAAAAGAAGGCAATAAGATTATTTAAATAAACATTTCGTTTCCAAAGAATAACAAAGTACGCCTACATTATTTATGTTAATGTACCCAAATAAGGAGAGACTGCTCTGCTCTATACAGATCAACACAAAAAAATAAAGGCTATTAGACCCTTCAGGAATGCGCATAAATTTACTCACTGGCATCAGAGTATATGAATAAAAAAATGATTATTTGAGATAAATTGCTTATACTGGTATTAGTGGCAATATCAAAATATTAATATTTTCTATTAATCAATGTCTTTAAGAATGTTATGTTTAAAATTTGTATCTGATATTGTAAAACGTATACAAATCGTTACCTTCATATTTCATCAACTCATTTGGTAAAATTGAGAATTTCAATCCTACTAAAATATAATACTTTGTTAAATAAAGCAAAAAATGAGAGCGAGAAATTCTAAGAACCATTACAAAATGATGATATCGAGCCTGTAATCTTGTCTTAAATTATAAATTCAACATGCTTTTGTTTATCTGTTGATATTTTCCACTCATTACACAATCCACAAATGTGTTGTTAAAATTCAATGCGTGTATTGAAGAGGAAAAATTAAGAGATAGGTAGACAGCATACCCCCGGAATGAACACAAATACTATTTCTTAATCACACATTTCATATTAGTCCTTATTCTTGTTGATAACCATTCCGTTTTTGAGTTGTCCGATTTAACTAACATTACGCCACTGGATAGTTTGAAATCATTAATTTTCCTGCAATACACATCACAGTCAAGGTAAGGAAAGTTCATTTTATGAAATACATATATTAGATGTTTTTTAAAACTATGACTAAAACAGATGTATGCATATATATACCTAGATGGAATCCCCCTTTCTGGATAGTTAGACAAATTACATTTCAAGTAAACAATTCTCAAGTTCTCCATGACAAGGGGGTAGGCGATGAAAAACAGAATTTTCGTTCAGTCCATGTTAAGTAAACGTTACTCCTCGTTCATTTTGGAGAATTTGGTCCTTGGAAAACAATTTTTCAAATAAGATTTACTTTACATGAAGGACATAGCCACATGGGTTGCGGGGGATCAAAATCAACAAAAACCAACGATGGTCATGATGTTAAACGAGATGAGAGTCCTGAGGAGCCCAAAGAAGAGAAGGTCGAAGAGAAACAAAACGAAGAGGAGGAGGATTATTTGAGAGAACCAGAAACAATCTCGGTAATGTCCTTAATCAACTTGTATATGTGTTTGCAAATCTTTTGCAATTCATTACAGTGCTACCTCGGTATATTGCCAACTTTTGTCCAAAACAGATTTTGGCATTTAAGCGAGAGTGGCAATATAACGAGCTTTGTCATCAATTAGAATGCAGTGAGCCCAGCTCAAGATCGATACTTAATTCATTTCAATTACACTCAAATGCCATGCTTATGAACATACATGTACATTTAAGCACAGCTTTCATTTCTTCCGGAAAAAAGTCATTTATTTATTTGTTTACAAGAATTTTGACTGAAATGAAATAAAAATTTCAGAATATTAAAACACTTATCAATTTCCTGCTCTTTCGCTCTTCTGTCATTATCCAAGAATTTAATAACCCGATGATAACGGTGTCAATAGCATTTATAGTCTCACGGTATAAAAAAAAAGAAGGTTTTTGAGGTTTATCGTCAATTTCATCTGAATCAGAAGAAGATTATTTCACCATCTCAAGAATCACTGAATCAGTTAAAAAGTTCAGTAGGTTAAGCGCCATGCATGACTGACGAATGGAAAGTCATGTGTCAGGGTACATGTCTAGATCTTCATGAACCTGTTGTAATATACATGTATTCTCATGTTTACTAGTACCTGAGTACTTTCTCCTCCTATTCTGTTTTGATATTTATCAATCAATCCATTATGTGACCAACAATTTATGACTGATTCAGAGGTAACTAACGGAATCCCATGCTATATTCAACTTGCGGAATTTTAGTAGTCTAAAATAGAAATGGGGTTTCCTTTTGATCGATGGAATGGATTCTTGATCTAAGGGGACAAAAATTTATTTCATCTATTATGGCTTGGTGCATTGTCCGTGATAAGAAACAACCGGCGAATTACAGTTAAATAAAATGTTGTACAATTATTTTTTTTCTCCTTTCTTTTGTAATCTAAATTTGCACGCTTTCTCCTCCCCACTTTTCCATTATTGTGATGAAATAATACTGCTATTTTATAAAACAACACTAAAAACATTTGCTACTTTTGAGTTTTATAAAACAATTATCTTTAATTTAGCTGATTTCCTTGATCACTCAGTCACAATTCACTGCAAATACTGTCAAAGCACGGGCGTGACGTCCAAATTACCCACACGCGCTAGATAATTAGCATTGTTACCGAGGGTTTTCCTTATGTAATTTGACCTTTTGTTTTCCAAAACCAGTGGCGGACGGCAATAAGCGGGGATGGCAATATAACGGGTGTATTAACACAGGGGGAAATCTGTTCTTCGAAATTCCTGGCAATAAGCGGGGGTAGCAATATAACGGATGGCAACATACCGAGGTAGCACTGTACTTATCATTATCAGGAAAAGTATAGTTTTTATTCTCTTCGGCCAAATTGTCAATGATTCTGTCATATTTAATGTATGTTTCAAAAATTCATGTATTGTGTATGCATGAAAGCAGTCTGAGCTAAAAAAAAAAAAAAAAAAAAAAAAAAAAAAAAAAAAAGGTGCATATGTAATCCTTTTAAAGGAAATGATCAAGAAGGATGTACGTTCACCATAGCTGAAAATGTAAAGCAAGAAATGGTACAAAATGTGCAGAATAATCAAAGTTTCACGAACTTGTCCCTAAAACCTCACGTGACCTGGCTACTGTTTCTAAAACACCAATGAACAAATCAACACATAAGAAAGCTTAAAAAATTCTGTATACTCACAGAAACGTATCAATAAATGTACACCATGTTTTCTAATCTTAGTGTCGCTCCATCTCTCTATCTCTACGTTTTATAGGATGATTTAGAGGACATTATAGCTGGATACCCTCCACCAAAGCCGAGTCTCAAGAAGAAGAAACATATTTTTACAGAACAAGATAAAAATTCTGCGGATGCTAGGGCCGAACAAGTAATATTGTACTTCACATTAATAATGCAACAATCATGACAATGAAACAAAATTTTCAAGTTTAAGATTGATGTCACGATATAATGTTAACTTAATAAAATCGGTAGTAGGGTGTGTTGGTTCAGACTTAAATAACGTAACATCAGATTTATTTAACACAATTATTTCTGCAGCCTTTATTTAATATTCGTTTTTCAAAGGCGATCGAAAGGAACCGGTGGCAATGCGAATTGTTGAGATAGAAATGCCGCATCAAGAAAACCCTTTTCTTGAACATTAAAACCCCAACATGAAGTTTAAAATGTAAAATGGACATTATCACACCTGGAAAATACATTGTAGAAATAATATTAAAGAAAAGTATTTATTACTTTCCTTTATTAATGTTACACATCAAAGACACATACAGTTGTATCATATAGATAAAAAGAATTAAACTTATTTGTTTTCTGTTGGATAACATTTTTACAGTAGTAACATGAATCTTGCTCTGTTTGTATCAGTGAATAGCAGGGTATTATTTGTTAAGGACATTGGCAAGGTTCCTGGTTATCATATAGAATTTTTCAAGAACTCTTGAGTAGGTTTAATTGTACTAAACAGGTTATATTCTGGATTGCGGCTTCCTTCATACAACCTAGGAACTGATCTCAGTCTGTCTACCTTTCCGCATACGTCACATCTTTGCCCTTCACAGCATACTGAGCATAACTATGGTAAATGACGACCTTTTGGCTCTTTTTCCCCTGAATACAATGTGCAACAAAGCCATAACTACTTTTCTTTCTGTATAGATGATTCTACCCGTTGAAGGAAGTACACGTGCTTTTGTTTACCTCTGTAACATACGCTTTATTGGTTTTCACCGCTTAGAGAATTCTACATGGGAGATCACTCTTAATCACTATTTAATAAGTGAAAAAACCCATGTATTAAACCCTTCTTCTCCGGAAAACCCTGACTTGCCAATGTCCTTAATTTAACTTAATTTTTCACTCATATTGAGACGCCACCACTTACCGTTGGAGAGCTGCAAATTTAGACCTGTACTCGGCACTTACGGCATTTGAGAGTGAGAGAGTTTTTTCGTGAGAGCACCTACTGCAACCCTGCAGTGTAAGGATCAACTCCTTACTCCCCTGCTCTAGAGCATATGCTCTCACCACTGCACCACGAGGGCGACTAGTAGGGCATTATTATATATACTTGAATTCTTCTTCAAATTTGCAGTGAATTACATATCACAGCCCTTATTTTTAAGATTAAAGTTGAAGATTATCAGACCATGGATGATTTAGCACATGCTCTGACTGATGGACTAACAAATGACGTGCAAAAGGTACGTGCAATCTTCACATGGATTGGTTTACAGGGATCAAGCGAAATTAAATCTAAAAAAGACAACGGAATACAAGATGTCACTTCGCCCCTCATCATTGTACGACAAGTTGCACAAAGAAAGCTTTCGTACAATTTCTTATTCATAAGCCTCTGCAGGTGAGTTTAAAAAGATAACGTAATTGATAATAGAAAACTAAGGATGTACTATATATATATATATATATATATATATATATATATATATATATATATATATATATATATATATATATATATATATATATATATATATATATATATATATAGGTAAGTGTGAAGATTTCATTTTATAACGTTTAATCTTCAAGGGCAGCTAAAATTCCATGTGTACGTATACGTGGACTGGGGAAGAGTGTGTCCTACGAGGTAGGTGACAAAGATGTTGACAATCTGAACAACTCATGGACAGCAGTATTTGTCGCTGGAGAGTGGCACTTTGTCTTTCCGCTTTGGGCTTTTTCAGCAGTTGTTGGACACTCGGAGGGAAATTGGACTCTAGTGGAAACCCAAGGTATGAAATTTAATTGAAGATGAAATGACAATTTTAATCACGTGTGCATTTTACTGCATTGACTGTTGATCAAATATAAAATCAATTTTTGCACGACACTTTTAACTACATACGGATCGTTTCAGAAATAGTTAGTGAAATGCGCATTTTTAAAACAGCCCAAGCACTAATTGAATGATTTAGGTAAAGGTGCCAGGAAGAAAGAAGAAAAATCATCAGGTCTAACAATCAGCCATATTAATGACTATTACTTCCTCACGGGGGCAGAAGATTTTATTTACGTTTGTTATCCTCATGACAAAAAATGGCAGCTTCTTGCACAACCATTCACCAAACAGGACTTCATAGATATCGCATATTGTAGACCAGACTATTTTAAGAATCACTACAAAATTACGACGCCGACAAAATGTATCTATTCATCTGTTCGCGGAGTATGCGAAATTGGGATAAAGAAGTTAGACAAGGGAGAAAGTTCTTACGCATACAAGCTGTATTTCAACCATGCAATATCAAACACAACTCTTCCTTCTGAAATACAGCTAGAGAGATACGTAGCTATATTCAATGAAGAGCACTCTATGCGATTTCGTGTTCGGTTTCCCAGTGCGGGCATATATAAAATGGAGATCTATGGAGGCCGCCCGCTTCTTTGTGTATTCAAACTTGAATGTAACGAGGATGTAAACTATGTAAAACCATTTCCATGTAATCCAAAGTCTGGGTTTGGTCCAAACTCCCTAACTGAGGAGGCCGGGCTCAAAGCACAATCTCACAAAACTGGCTTCATCAATATCAAACAGACGAAGAATTTCAATATGATATTTAACATTACTAAGAATGTATTAGTCCAAACAGTCTTAATACACGATAATATGGAACAGGAAACGCTGACTAAACACGTCAACCATAAGAGGAAAGGTCAGAAGCTGGATATCAATGTTAATCTACCCCAAAAAGGAGAATATGCTCTTCAGATTAACACAAAAGACAAAGATTCCGGTGGTTCATTTGTAAATGCCTGCAACTACCTTCTGACCTCAGAAAACATAAACAAAAAGCGGAAGCCTTACGAGGTAATTGGCTTTGCACATCAATTTATCAATTTCTCAATAGATATTGAAGAAAATGTTTTATAATTTACTGTCCGTATTTTTACAGAATGCTGTAGAAAAAAGAGCCAGGAAAGCATTACAACAGAATGCTCATTCCAATGATATAGAGACTCTGCAAAAGGCTCTTGATGATTTTGATAAGGTTGATCTGGAAGATAAAGGTGATCGCCATAAAGTAGAAGAAAGACTGACGTACCTAAACCTGCGTAAAGGTAGCAGTCACACTGCATTTTATTGATTATTGATAGATTGTAAGTTATTTTACATCCCATTTTAGAATATATCACTTAAATAGTCACCATATACCGATTTCAAATTTAGACCCATACTAGGTACTTAGGGCTGTTTAGCTGTAAAGGTTCTTTATCGTGCCAACGCCTACCGTGACACGGAACCTCCGTTTTTAAGGCTTCATCCACAAGATGAATTTCATTTCAAGCCAGGCGCTTGGCACTGCCAGTCACTGCCTATGTTTACGTCTTAGGTTGGACACGGCGCCGGAAAAGGAATCAGTACCTCCCTATCACGAAGCAAGCACCATACCACAAAACTACTGCAGGCAATTTCTCTGATGCGGGCAAGATAAAGATAACGATTCAACCAATTAATTTTAAAAAAAATACAAAGAGAAACGCAAAGGTTGCATGCTATCAAATGTGATATTTTTTTCTTTTAAAAAAGCAAATTTAAGATTTTATGTTTTTTTTTATATTCAAAGTACGGAAATCAATATCACGAGGTTAAAACAAGGATACGCTTTCCAGTAATTTGAATTTTACAAAAATACCTGTGTATTTATCATCTGTTGGGTACTTTTTTTTTACATTGTCTTGTAGTATAAGGGATGATATCTGTTAGGTTTTTTCACACCTAACTCTGTTTCGATTCACCTGATATGAAATTTTATTACTATGTATCATCTTGAACCCAGTCAACACCATCCTCTGTACATTCTAATTTAAAGTACTGGACAGATTGTTGGAAAGCTGTTGTTAGTAATAAAAAAATAAATCAATCTAAATTTACAAAAAAGAAAAATAAATGAAAATCTGGATGGAAAACAGGTATACATTTATGTATATTTTTGCCTCATCAGAATTAAAAGATGCCATTGCAAGAAGACATGGTGAGAAACTAAAAGAAGCAATAGAAAATGCGAAATCATCCGAATACGAAGCCAATCTTAAGAGTCTGATTGAGGAAGCGGAGGATTTGTTAGGGCAGTTGCAACGGCTGAAAGGATTTGCTCACGACATTCTAAAAATGCAGCAGACAACCATTTCAGAGATCCACAACTACAAACGCCCAAAACCAATGGCTTATGACGTCATGAAGGCTACATACGTCCTTCTAGGGGAAGAGGAAAGGCGTGTTCAGGTGGATGACAAAAATGAATTTCTTGAAATAAAAAATTATTCGTGCAAAATTATCAGTATTTTATGAAATATTTCTTGTTAGGAATGGGAGCAGATACAAACATTGATGCGTAGGACAGGAAAAGAAGGGCTGCTAAGGCGCATACGTCAGTTCGACATTGTCCACGTGACTGAAAATATGATAAATCACTCCTCTCAAATACTACGACCATACGACGAAGAGAGAATACGAGTTTCCAGTGCGGGTCTCGCTACATTTTACAAATGGGTAACTAGGATTTGCTTATCATTTTTGTAAAGATAAATAGATTTTTTTTAGATGGTCGTAAATTAAATGATCATTGACGTGTAGAAAACATTGTTAACGTTTGTAAAAGAATCATTTAATTGGTATTTTTATTATTTCAAAGATTGCTTCCAATATCTTCTTTCTACACTAATTTGAATTCAGTTTAAATCAGAAAAGTCACTTTCAAAATGGTAGCTTAGGGAAATAACTCACTGAGAAAATATATCATACGAAAATAATAGTGGAAACTTTGACAATGTAGAAACGTTGTCGAAATTGATGAATATCTAACACTAGTAATCGTCAAAGTTTCCACTTGCCAATTTTCACAATATTATTAAAGATCACTGTTAAATACTAGTAGATCGCTAAACTTCCCATCGTTCTAAAACGTCGAAAATATCAAACCTATAGCCCTTCAATATGACCATTCGTACAGTAAATTGCTTTTTAAAAAGAACCTAAGAATTTGTTTTTACTCACACTATATTTACATTAATTTCAATTTCAGGCGATGAATATAATTGAAGAAATGACAAAATAAAAGGATTATCCGAGAGACCAACAAGATTAGGAAAATATATTCCAAGAACAAAAAAAGTCATCACTAGAAACGCCAAGTTTGAAATGTGAAGGATATCAGCACAAAACATAATTATGCACATCGAGCTATGAATCCATTAAAATAAATTTATTTACTCTTTAATACAGACCAGTAAACATGTAGGGTCCAATTAACGTTTGTTTCTTTTATTGGTATTTAAATTTTATTTAAATCCAAACTTTATATTCTAAAAATTGAAAGATATTTCTCAATTCAGAGAAAATCCCTGACATCCATATTACTTCAACAATTATTACCACCTCAAAGATGGAACAAGGGACTTATCATGAACACATTAATGTGTGTTCTGAATATGAAATATGAGATTAGGAAAAAATAAATTTACTCGATTATAAATCGCAGAATATTAATACATTTAGGTACTTCCTTATTTTTCGTGTTAGAGCAGAACCCAACTCTTTGTCGCCATTTATGAAATAAAAATATAAAGTTTCTCGTTCATCAGTCCACTACGTGGACTTTTGTATTTCATGGTTTTATTTTGTAATCATTAACAGAATATACGTATTTGTGAAAATATGAATTAATAGTTCTTTCTGATCAATTATTTTAGAAAATCGATAAATTATGTAACATCAGAACTAATTTTTTTCATATTTCTGAACATATTTGGTTGATTGAGTCATTATTTGGGGAAAAAATATAAAATAAGATACACATGTATATGCAGAAAATTAGATTATTATGGTAACAAGAGTTCTACTAGATCTCTCAAATTCAAATTTTAGTCGAGTCATTTTAAATGCAGTCAAACCTCGTTATCTCAAACTCGATGGAACCGAGAAAAACTTTGAGATGTCCGAAGATTTGAGATATCGAGGGTAAAATACATAAAGAATAATTGGTTGGGGCCTCCAAATCACTTTGACATACCATGGTATTTGAGATGTCAGTGTTCGAGTATCGAAGTTCAAAGATAACGAGGTTTGACTGTATATATTGCAGCATTGACCAAACATAAACCTCACGGGCTCGATGTCCAAAGATGTCAGCAACCCAAAATTAGACCTTTTGGAAAAATGGACGTGAGGCGTTCAAAAATATTTTTTTCAATTTATCATATGCAATGGCGAACTTTTTAAGCTGAAAATTTTTAAACTGTGAAAAATAAAGCAAAAAAGATTATGCATTCAAGAAAATTTTTAAAACAACATACTCTTTTTATATAGGAAATCTTCACTCTAAAAGGCATCTAACTTTGTCATTTCAATCTCGTAATAATGCTGGATATCGATGCTCTAGAAATACTGATTATTTGATTGTTTTAATACATGAATATTAGGGATTGCAATCGAATACAGAATCGCTAATAGGTTAACTGCAAGACGTTCCGACCGATTAGTCGGTTAATCGTATCAAAATACACATTTTTGGGCATTTTCTCCCAAGTAGCTAAGAAGATTTAAAAACGTTAGAAGTTAGAAACATTCTGTTTATCTTACCAGTAAAGTACATTTACATATATTTTATTTCAATTTCAAAAGACGAGAAAAAATTAAGAAAAACATGCATGGCTGTAAAATTAGACATTGATAATTTTCCAGAGAAGATGTCACACAAGTTCATTTTGCATTGACACCATAATCAAAACTATGTCTGAACTTCCCTTTACTTTACAGTTTTTGTCTAATAATAAAATTTAAAAGATAACGACATAAGACAGACATACTAATACACAACGTTAATCTATTTAATATCATTAAAGAATTACAGGACATCGGGATACCGACATGGTGTTTCAAAAACAGTAATGAACACTTCACAAACTAACCATTTACCCCGCGATCTTAATCCGAAGAGCCATTAGCTTAAGTAGATAAATTATCAAGGTTTATGCTGAGGTTTCTTTTATAAAAATGAATTCAGATTAAATTTACATATAATTTTTTTTTCAGACTAACCGATTACAAATTTTCTAACCGATTACCATTGTTCCGACCTAATAATCGGTTAACCGGTTATTACAAATTGCCATCCCTAGTAAATATATACAGTCATGTATTTCCAATAACTCTTACCTCTAAGGCATGAAAGAAAGAATGTGAAAAAAGGATACAAGAGGAAGTGAAAATGCATGCCACTACGAATAAACAAGAAACTACAATAGTAATCTTTATTTTTATTTAGATTCATCTTTGTGTCCGCTAGGCGGCTTTTTGTGTTACCACTTTGGTCGTTTTCAGCAATCGTCAGTCACAGTTCAGGACAGTTTAGGGCACGCATCAAGCGTAAATCTAATGCAATTTTAATAATGGAAATATCCAACTTCTCTTCTTTTTTATGTAGATACTTGTAAAAACAACCAAGAAAACATCGGGAACCACTGTTAGCGATTTCAACGACTTTAAGTTCCTCACTGGGTCAAAGATCATTTTTCCCTAAGAAATTCCGTGGTTTTTGTTTGTTTATTTGTTTTTGTGATTGTTTTGTTTGTTTTGTTTTGTTTTTTACTTGAGTGCAGCAAAAATGTCAGTTACGTGAAGCCATATCCAAGTTATTTTGAAACAGGATTTGGTTCTTTTCCATTAATTTATGAACCGTAAGACTACATTTGGATATCATATTTTACATGTATGTATTCAGAAAGAAAACCTTCAAAAGATCTTCTCCAGCAAAACCAAGATAAGACTAAACTATACCAGAATTATACAATGTTGGCCCCATAATTTTATCTTTAATCATATTTTAGATATGTTTTTTGGTTATGTGTTGATATTTAGGACTTATACAAAGACAAATATATATTTTAAATTCAATAAGTGTGTACTGAAGGGGAAAAAAGGAAGAGATTTGCAGACTGAATACTTTGGCAAAACACTTAAATACTAGTCGTTGGTCATGAATAGTTATTGAATATTGGTCTTTGGTCTTGTTGATTACTATCCGAGTTGTGTATTTCAAACAAACTTTAAGACATTGGATAGTTATAGCTCAATTTCTCTTGTAAGACACATTACAGCCTTGGTAAAGAAAAGTTATATAATGGAATTAAGATATCTGGAATTGGAAGGGTTTTTATTTTAAATATAACTAACGCTATTTTGATATTGGGTTCTATTAAAACATATTTTCCATGTGTCTTAATAGAATTCCAATATTAAGATATTCTTTTAATTGTAAACAATTATTTTCTATGACATCGGAGTAGACAGCAAGGACAAGTAAACAGATTTTTCTTTTCATTTTCAAAAATTCAATCCGGGGTATAATTATTTTCTCATTAAGGATTTAGACAAATGGGTAGCGGGGGATCAAAATCAAGAAAGGCCGACGGTGAGCGTGATGAGCAACTAGGGATCAAAGAAGAAGAGATCACTAAGGAGCCAAAAGATGAGGAAGACAACGAGAAAACAAATGAAAAAGAGGATTATTTAAGAGAACCAGAAAATGACACGGTATAATTTTTTTTCTAAATAGTAATTTATACATGTGTGGGTAAACATATAATAATTTTACTTTTCTGTCAAAATAAGTATTTGACTGAGTTAGGCCAATATTTGGGTAATATTTTTGGTTTGTGTATAATTATAAGTTAAGCTCTCTGTCCAAAAAAAATGGATTTGGCCAATTATCAGTTTCGGTAATATTTTGGGATTGCGTTCATTTTTTCAGGTACGTTTACTAGTCCTACACCTTTTAACACAAGATATTGCATAGAATAAACAGAATCATTGAAAGCCTCATGACTAATTTTTTTTTTGTCTAAAACTTCTGTGTACTAGTTAATGAATTCTAAAACCAAACACTATCCAAAACATTTTTCTTTTGTATTAAAAATGAGGAAATATTTTGCGCCTATAGAGAAAAACATAATTGGTATATACTAATCTTGCCTTGCTCTTTTTTTCTGTACGTCTAATAGGTAGATTTAGAAGACATGCTAGAGGGATACCCTCCACCAAAGCCAAACTTCAAAAGAAAGGAGCATATTTTTACAGAACACGATAAAACTGCAGCAGATGCTAAGGCCAAACAAGTAACATTTCAATAATCTGCACAAATGTTTGAGTATAAATGCAAATGTTGCAATGTCATGTTTAATTAGTAATATAATATCAGAAGTAGGAAGTTTAATTCAGACTTAGGCTTATAGGCTACAATTGTTTTGAAATCTTTTCAATGAAAAGAACAAATAACTCCGATCTATGTTTAAATAAATAAGGTTTAAAAGTTTAGCGGAAAAAAATCCATTTTTCATTGAATTTTTTTAATATTGTCTTATTATAAGGGTGATGACCAAAAAAGAAAAAAAATGAACGTCTGTAAATTTCCAAACTAAGCCCAAAAGCATATACTAAATCCGTGCATCCGATTTTTGTTCGTAGCATGTGTTATGTTATTAAGTATCACTTAACAGATTCATTAAGCATAATGATGATTCTTGCAGAAAATTACTATAGTATTTAATTTTCAAACAAATGAGCAATTTGCAGTTTTTGAGGAAGACTAGTCTCAGGCAAATTGTATTCCCACCCTTTTTGTGATTTTGAAAATAACGTTTAGTTTATTAAGTGAAAATACTATTAACTCATTTGAAAACAAATATACTTTGAAAAATGAAATTTCAAAATAATATATCAAGGAGGATGTTTTTTTTCCTGGGCACTTTAAAAAGAACTGATAACCAAACACAAATAGACTAGCTGCATTCAAATAAAAGTCTTAAACTTCCTGGCCCCCTATGGTTTATATAATTACAGAAGAAGTCCTGTATCGATTGGTATCAGGGACGAATGGGGCATTGTTATTTGTATATTGAAATAGATCACGTCTATTATGTTTAGATTAAAGTTGAAGATTATCAGTCCCTGGATGACTTAGCGCATGCTCTGAGGGAAGGATTAAAAAATGACGTGCAAAAAGTGCGCGCGATCTTCACTTGGATTGGTTTACAGGGGTCAATGGAAAACACATCTGAA